GCGAGATCCTCTTGTGTAGCAGTTTCATTCATACTCTGGTCCGCCGCTGCAAGCACGGGTTAGAAGTGAGGTTAAATCAGGACGTCGGAGAACATACTAAGTGGAATATAATGGTCTGCATCCAGAGGAACATCTTGCTTGACTTTGATTTCATACACGCTTTTCAAAATCGTCAGTCGATGTCCTACACTGTTAATGCCCATTTCCTTCAGCTCATCATGCTTCAGGGCAACCAGGGCTTCACCGACGATCCCATTCTCTGCGTCGTAGATTATGGTTAGTAAATAGCGCTGCCTAAATATGCTCGAAGGAGTCTGCTCACCTCGAAATATACCGTGATACTGCAGCAATCCAAGTGATGTTAAAAATTCATTGCATTCATCAACTCCCCATTCCGTGATGAGTGTTCGCGGTGAACGAGGACCATCGATCGGATGTCCAAATTTGGTCGGGGTGTGTTCTGTTGAATGAATATCGGAGTCCGTGGGAGAAGATTCCGAGTCGATGGGAAGGTGAGGTGAAGTTATGACACTGCGTTCGTACTCATCGTCCGCATCGGAGTCGGCGTGGTAGGAGGTATGGAGAGACATGACGGGAGATCTTCGATGGCAAGAGAATATTCACCGAAAGTAGAGATGAATGATATGGGAGGTTCACGGGCGCCACCGCCAGAGTCAAGGTACTAGGGCCAGCAAAGACAAACAAAATGAGTGTTGGCGGTAATGCGCCGAATGCTCTATCTTTTGACGCGCGGGCAGAACGAGGGGACGTCAAGACTTGAAGGTTTCAAGTCAAACATGGGCGGATTCGCAAGATCTTCCGGCAGGGAGGAGTTGTATTGGGTATCTCCTGCTCTGGCCGAAATAGGTTCTCGATAACTCCTTTCCGAGGAGGGGTGTTGCCGTCGAGTGCAAACACGCGGCAATCAACAAGATCAAAGCGGGGAAGGTTGGCGGTTCAGGGCCACGGCGGGATAGGGGCGTTGGAAGAAAGTAAGGCCACCGATTAAAGCGAGTGATATGTCTCTATTCTCTGAAGCAAAAAGTTCACTGACGTCTGGGAGCAAACTTAGCGCAAAGGTCGAGATTAGGCGAAGAGGACGCTGGTCTGATGAGAACGGGGTCCACGTGACTGGGCCTGGACTCTTTTGACTCTCGAAGAGTATAACTACATCTCTTCCTTTTTCCAAACTCAGAATATGTTTTCTGTTGACTTGGGGAATATACTATCTACAAACTCAATATCTCTGGGATGATCGAATTGAATTTGTTATCCACCCCCGCCTTCATCAAACCTTGGAATGATGCCAAGCACTTACGAACCATTATAGCTTGGCAGCTCCCTCTGTCCTTTACTCCAACTAGGCACTCATTGATCTCCGATAATGCTAGCTGAACCGACTGCGCTTGAGACACCCGTCCTAGGTATGGTCCCCTATGCCAATATCCTCGAAGCCCCCTTGAAAACAGGTTTAGGCATGGCCATTAGTGAGTGGCCTGTGACCGGATATACCAGTTTGTGTAGATTTATACCCCAAGCGATGGTGTAAGTGCTTACCGTTGATTATTCTATCGGTTGCAAGTTCAAGACATATTGCAACATCTTCTTGAGGCGCTGTCCTCATCAGAGCTCTCAGCCCGTATTTACTGCTGGTGTATTGCCAGTTTCCCTTGTACGGGGCAAGTATTAGCCTTTTCTATGATGCATACAGTTTGACCGAGATGAAAATACTGACGGGTCAAGAAACCATACAGTGATAATAACATAACGGGCCAGAAAAGAGTTACTCCTAGGATATCTCATCATCTAAAGGCCACAGTTCGTCAGCAGAGGCACGGCTGATGCCGGCGTTGGCTATGATAATAATGACAATATCACAACTTCTGCAAAGAGTATTCGCAATCGCCGCATTTGAATGAGAACTGCAATATATTAATTTCCGAGAAACTAAGTAGTCAATTTTACGTCCCTCTCCGAGCCTCGGGCTAATAATCCGTGGCCTTTGCCGAGCGTCTCCCGTCTCAACCGCAGGGCTTGATTCGGCTATCCGAAAAAGTAAGCCGATGAGAAATAATCCATGCCAGGATCATACTTTTTCACGGTAACATTCGATTTGCGGGGATTAAAGACAATCGAGTAGACTTTGTGGGGCCTGGAGTACCTACTGCGTCATCAAGAGCTATAGTTAGAAGAGCCAAAGCTTCAAGGGAAAATGCAGTGTTTCGAAAAAGGGGGATATTCAGAACCCCAGTGTGAATTGGTAGTCTATTCAAATGTAAGAGCGCCCGTAGACTTCGTATGTAAACCCATGGAATTTGATGCAGCCAGACCGAAACAATCTGTACTCCTTAGAAAGAAACCCGCCATGCATGATCGCATTTTCAAATGCTGCTTCCCAGCGCCCGGTGTCTGTCATTATTTCTTGTCGCCGTTGGGCGCACTCTCTCCCTCCAAGTCGGCCACTTCTCGTATGATATCCTTCAATCCACGAACACCCTCGTCGACCACCGTTTCCGGAATGCGGATATCGATTTCTTCAATGTACTTCAGAGGGTCGTATGAGTGATTTTTGGCCTTGTTGCCTTTCCTGACACCGTTGGTCTCTTTTGTTCCGTTTGTAGTTTCACCGTTCGCGACCTGGGCCCCTAGTGCCGGGTGGGTTCGGCCCTCTGCTGAAGCGAGCACTGCCGCCATCACATCGTCGAAGGTCTCACAGCGGCCGGCGCGGAGGAGTTCTGTGGCGAGGGTGGTGACCTTGTCGGTCCAACCCAGGCGATGGAGCGAGCCGAGGAGATTTTCCTGCAGATCTTCGAGTGCGCAGCTGGCGGACAGCTTGACGAGGAGGTCGGATTCGAGGGCGTCGGGGGTGGAGGAGGCTCCGTTGGTGGAGGCGGAAGGAGGCATTGTGATGAGTGGGTTTCGGGTTTCGCAGGACAAGGCCTGAGCACGAGAGAATGGCACGATACGAGCTTTTAGGACAGAAGCTCTAGTTCCGAGTTGCGCACAAGAAATGAGGCAATGCTTTGCGCAAAAGCGAGGTTGTCGGAGAGGGGCCCGCCCTTTATTTCAATGCGGGATTGAAAGCGGATTAGAATTACATTGCATGTAGTGCACAATAGACATGCATAATGAGCAGACAATTGAAGCTGAATAGAAAATAAAAAATAGGAGAGTAAATCAATAGGAAGACTCGCATTGGCGGCTACCAGATCGGACAATCGGCAGTGTGGGTCCGAGCGGTGAATCGCCTTTGTTTTATTCTTCGAGTCTTCTATTCTTCTATTGATATGTCTTGTTTAATCTGACTGATTTCTAGTTATATCATTCATACTACCCTCGTCTAACACGAAATATACACCCGATTTGGCTGCGCTAGCAGGGTAACTACGACTATGTTGTTGATATCCCTAACAGATCCAAAATGATGTATGCATCTTCGGCCTACAACCCAGTGTCCTATTTGGACTTAATCTCAAATGGACCAGGCGCAGGACTTGTCAATGCCCAGGCAATCCCGTCACTCATAACCTCGTCCCACCTCTCGCTATCGGGTAGCTGCTTGTACCTCCTAAATCCATGGGGGACGCCGGGGAAGACATGCACATTGGTAGGAATACTGATGAAATATTTAGCTTCTGAACACCTAAATCTTAAAGATGGCAAAACTCACCCGTTCGCAGCGAGATGCTGTCCATAGAACAGACCCTCATCTCTCAATGGGTCATTTCCCGCGATTCCAAATGTAGTAGGAGGCAAGTCCTTGACCTCTTCCGCGGTAGCATTACCAGGGCTCATCCGACGATCCGCAGCAGCATCCTTGGCATCGACAATCCCGAGAAGCTCGGTGAACAATCTTATTCGAGTCACCGGCAAGACAGGCGCCTCGGCGCATTGCACATAGCTCGACAAATCAGGACTCTTGAGCAACTCCAGTCTCGGCGCATAGTGGTCCCCATGCACAAGACAGGGAATCATGAGGACCTGACCAGCAATTTTTGGACAGGCTGCTAAGCGCTTATCATCGCCGCGCAGCTGAGCCAGCGCCAACGACGCAGTCAACCACGCACCAGCTGAGATACCGCCCACGACAACCTGCTCGCCGATCCCGCCAATCTTGGCAATGTTCTCGTGTAGCCAGACAAATGCGTCTTCGACATCGTCCCAAGCAGTGGGATAGCGATATTCCGGAGTGTGTCGGTAGTTGATATTCAAGACCATGACTGGGGTACCCTTCTGGACACGCGAGGTGACAATCCGCGAGCAAATGGCATCTTCAGAAGAAAGTGTTCCGAAAAGAAAACCTCCACCGTGAAGATGGACGTAAACAGGTAGGCGCTCGGAAATTGGGACGCCGGCGGGTCGGTAGGTGCGTGCTTCGAGCGGCGTGCCGTCGCGGGCTGTGATTGTGTAGTCGTGCAGCTGGACTGCGGCACCGACATCAATCATATCTTGGGCTGCGGATGCTTCGCGGCCCTTGTTTAGCAATGCCTTCAGTTGTTCCGCCGAAAGGTCCGTGGGGAGCTTAGGCAGCGTCGGCTCGAGGTCGATCCATTCGGCACTGGGCCTACCATATTCAGTGAAGTCGGCCATTGTTGTAGTGGTCAAAGTTAATAATACTAGAAGAAGAAGGGAGGGAAATAAGAAATAAGCAAGAAGCTCATCATCTATCGGGGTTTAATAAACCCCGCCAAGTCAAAAGACAGAGCCACTCAGAGAGGGGCATCGTGGAGGGGTAGTCAATTCATGTACAAATGTAGTCCGTTGCATTTCACTGAGAGACAATAGCGCCATCACCTTACCCCCACATCACCTCGGCTCGGCTACCGGTAACAGCGTATATCGGCATTTGGGAACCCCGCATGAAGATGGAATATGTAGATATATCGTGAACGAGAAAAGACGCAACAAGTATAACTATAAGGGTATAAGGGTAGACAGTATCCGCATCTGTTTTATAGTTGACTGGTAATCTCAATTGAAACCAAATCAAATCGAAAACCATGGAGTCTGGCTTTCCATCAGAACCCCCATCGCGTTCTTTAGTTGGCAAAGCCGCCATCGTAACAGGTGCAGGCTGCCTAGGCGATGGAATCGGAAACGGACGCGCGATTTCAATCCTTCTTGCCGACGATGGCTGCGACGTAATCTGCGTCGACCTCAACCTAGAGTGGGCGAACAAGACCGTGGAGATCGTGAACTCGAAACCCGGTCGTGGACGAGCGCTTGCGATTCGGGGAGACGTCACATCCGAAGAAGACTGCCAAGCAGCGGTGCGCTTTGCAGTTGAACAGTTTGGACAACTGGATATTTTAATCAACAATGTCGGCATTGGAGGCGCGGCGGGCACTGCGGTGGAAGTTGATATGTATGATGCAGTGGGCTAAGAGTATGGAGATCAATGTTGCCAGCATGGTACAAATGGTCAAGTATGCCGTCCCTGAGATGAGTCGGAATAATGGCAAGATCAAAGGGAGCATTGTGAACATGGGTAGTGTTGCTGGGTTGAAGGGTGGTACACCTCATCTGCTATACCCGACTGCCAAGGGTGCTATAGTCAACATGACCCGTGCTATGGCGGCTCATCACTCTCCCGATGGGATCCGTGTAAATTGTGTCTGTCCAGGGGTATGTTTAACATGTTTGTTGTATGAAACCGAAGCTGATGGTACTAGATGCTGTACACGCCTATGATGTATGGGAAGGGCATGAGGGAAGAGGCGCGTGGGGCCCGTCGGAAACGGAGCTTATTGGGAACTGAAGGAAATGGATGGGACTGTGCTGGAGCTGTTGTGTTCCTTGCTGGACCTCATGCTCGGTGGATGACTGCTGTGGGAATTGGAATGACGAAGAGTGCAAGTGTCAATGCGTAGAATTGAGACTTGCATTTTTGCTCAAATGTTGAGCCTTTCTGTTGACTTCATCCATAGATCACTTGATTCTTTTCTTTCGTGTCTCTCCATTCATCACCACAAGAATGCTTACATGGCCTCTGTACCTGATGATGTAGGACTTGATATTTTGGATATTTAGTTGGCCAGATATCATATTAGCAATTTTTCGTTTGGAACCTCAGGATTCTTTTTTTCCATGTATAACTTGTGATAACCATCATAAATCTGAATTCAACAAACAAACAAGCAGTATTTAGCTTGAAGAATCAGGGAGCAACTCGGGCTACATGACCCAGGTGTCAACAGAAGTCTATTACAAACAGTGTGGAAAGAAGACTTCGGTCAAGGTTGTCGTCTAGCAAAATCCGAAGAACTATGTAAGTTGTAAGTTGTCGTTAGCTATGTTGTATCATGTATGTTGTATGTTAGAGCTTTGTACAGAGAAGGGCACGTGCTCCATCCCCACTTCCCCCACCTATTGAAAACTACCCCGCTTTTATTCAACCAATGATACGTAATAGAAATTATCGTCTAGCCATATTGGGCCTAGTCTATTTATTTTGCCGGTTGGATTATTCTGCCAAAATTAGCCGATTACATATTCACCGCATTGATTCTAATAATTTTGGGGCCCATAGGATAAAACCCCCTGGTCACGTGACATACACACACGAGGTGTTCTTCAAAGGGCCATACTTCTTTCTTTGCTCTCACTGCCGTTTCGTTATGATCTCACTCTTTAGGACTTAGTCAAACCAAATTGATATCGAATTTCTGGAGCTTCCGCATCAGTCTATACATATATAGAGGTATAGAGATACACTGTAATCCACAGTGGTTCCCTGTATTCTTATACTAGTCAGATCGGGAAGGCACTACGGGGCATTGTTTGCTATTTATTGCTATATAAATAGATCCTCCCCCCACCGCTCTCTCTCTCCCCGTCCACTTCACCATTACCTTTGGAATGCTACACAATCTTTCTCCCTGATCAAGACCATCCTTGTGTAGCCATCTCTGGCAAATTCAATCTCATCCTCAGAACTCCTATGAGAAATGCCTCCTCCAAACAATGACGGGTCCTCATACATGAAAAACAGTGCCATCCATCGAATTGACATGTCGGTTCCCTCCGACCCTAGCCACCTTGGTCAACTACGAATAATACTAACATCTAATAGGCGTTTTTATATATCCCAAGATCGACATCAGCTCTTCATGACTGTTGCCAAGTATGACGAGGACTATCTCAAGCACCCGAGCGATAAGGAGCATAACATGCAACCCATAACAACTGTCTCTTCAGGGTTGCAGCCCGCCTCAATGACATTCGAGCACATGATAGCTGTTGATGAGCAGCCCAAGAATGTGTTGGTGAGGTTTTGAGTGCCGTGTTCAACACGGAACAGTTGGATCTAGGTTTCGCAGATTCTAAATGCAGAGTTGGGCTGCCGGAGCTACCATTATCTGGAATCATGACACATCCGAACTTATCGGGTAGTCGACCAGAGCTATCCGGAGGATCATAAAAAATAAGAGGAACTTCCTATCGAGGTGGTGAGAGCAAAACGGTCTTACCGTTCTTGCCGGATCGTTTTCCTCCCCATTATGGGTTTTCAGTGGTCCCTACAAATCCTGCAAGCCCTTGATCAACTCACTTGGCGCTCTGCAGGATAGGAAGGAACGATCCGTGGGAGGAAGGAACGACATCAAAGCTGCCGCCATTGAGAACTTCCCTTTCTAACACGTGGAAAAGTTTTCTTCGAGCTCTACTCGATAGACGTCCAATTACGACACTCGATGCATGATCATAGCTCTTGACTGGGGCCCATGAGGTAGCTTCACGCGGCGCGGTTCAAGTATGGAGGGATGTGGTACGCGATATGGGACTGATTGCATCGGTCGATCACCCCGGCAGGATCTAAACGCGAAAGTCGTGGGCGAGGTCAAAAGGACTGAGTATTGGCACATGATCTGTCTGGCTGAGAAGGGAGCCCGCAAAGGCAAATGACCGGAGCTTTCGTCAAGAAATCAGTAAGAATTTTTCTCCAGCCTAAGGTTCAAGACTCTAACCCGATATAGGCCAGCTTACACGACACATATAAGACTCCATGCAGCTCAAGCATGCCTTGTTGACAACATATGACCAGACCGTCTTCCTTGAGACAAGTGGACTTTGGAAGAGAGGTAGGCACATATTGCGACAGTGTTTCTTCCATCTAGCACTGTTGGGTGTTCAAACGACCCAAAGTTCTCACTTAGATTGCGCGACTCTCAGTCGATCAGAGTACGCTACCCCGATATCACCAGATTGCGCCAATCCCAGCAACTCCAGACAAGAGATCTTTAGGATTTGCTAAGACGTCTGACAACAATACTTCTTTGAACCCGATAGATTTGCTCGGCTTATTTATTTCGACAGCTGGCACTGCCCCGCAAGGCGCAACGAACCGAAATTTCTACCTTCCTCTAACAGCAATGTATGGCCGTTGGTGTAATCAGCTTCTCAACACTGACCATAAGCCGAGTATGTACAGCTGTCTCTGGGTACCAAATGCGAATAAATTCTTTCTCGGTGCTTCGATTGGTGGGTGCGTTCACAAAGACCACCTTGTTGGGTCTTGGCCATTACCTGTTAAGCGAGCAAGATACTGGCTTGTGGGTGGTGAGCATGTTACGCTGTCTGGATGGTTCTTCAGCAAGAGGCCCGAAGAATACCAAACCATCGGCAATTGCGCGGAAACATATCCCATAGTTCATCTCTTACGGTAGGTTATCCTCCAATTTCTCGCGGCAACAAGCTATATTGACACGAATAGCGGACTTAATGCGACTAATGGAAATGTTCGCGGCCTCGCTCTAGCAAAGAAAGCGCTGAGGGCATCGCAGTATGAAAACACCCTCAGCGGCCGTTTTCGGAATGCAGTTACCAATCCATGCAAGAATTGCCAGTTTCTGGTTGAGCTACATGGAGGAGACTTGCAGAACTTCTGTCGTTTTGCTGGGTCTGCCGGAGCGCCAGCCTAGGACGACCCATGAGAAAAGATAAGCGATCGGAGCCAAGTTGACCAACTAGTTGGGATAACACTAGACCTAATGACCCGAACGCACGAGTCAACCTGGTTATCGACGAGGAGCTGGGCTTTGTCGTGACCAACGGCATTGTTCCTGGCAAGGTCTATCCCTACTACGGCAATATCTCCCCATTTATCTCCCCATTTATCCCAGACTCTATGACTGCGAACCAGAAAGCGCAGGAAGTATAGATTGACAAGGTGAAAACACAGAGGGTAGAACTGTGGATGGGTGTCCAATGTGATCTATGGTCCCTTTTTATCTGGGCTAGGATGGATGCCCTATGGTGAAGCAGATCAGTTTTCCTATAGTTAACAATGAATTTCGTCCTTTTTTTCATTTTTAACCGATTAACTCCTGCTCTTGTCTTTCTTCTTGTACAGTAGCAGAGCAATATATGTACATTATAATACTAACCAAGTAGTACATACTAAGTGTCTATGATCTGCAGGCAGAAACGTTATACTATTCAGGCATCAACATGTGAGGATCCACCTTCCCTTTTCGGAAGCACATGTTCATATATTTCACAGCAACTCCTTCCCCCTAACCGAGAGTACCCCAGTGGCTGAGTGGGCTCGCACGCATTCACCTGGTTATCTCAGCTGCCTGCGTTCGACCTGCTCGGTCCACAACCATAAACTTTCCAATTATGCACCCCCAACCGTCTTCTTCCCACCGCAGGTCCAGGACCCAGTTCTGCCAGCAGGCAGGAAATTGACGATCTTGGGGTCGAACAGATTGTCAGAGAGCTGCTTTATGGGCCCCCAAAATTGGTACATTGGGTGGGCAGTGGCTAGCACTGGTTGGGACTCTCATTTTTTTGGTTTGGTCAACTGCTCGTTATACAAGCTCTAGACACTCTCGTTAGTTTGTATCTTTCCAACGACCAACTATATTCGAAGAATTGACTGGATTTATTGTTATGACCTCTTTCGTTACCGGTGCCACTATACTTATCTATCGGTTTTGAAATGAAATTGCGTCCACTACCAGGACGATGTGGTCAATAGGACGGCTGTCAATTCTGATCGAATCCTCAATTCTGGGATATTTCGTAGGCCAGACTGCGGCATCACTGTTCAAAATCAGCTTTATCTCCCAATACCACAACCTCCTTTGTACTTACTATATGTACTTTATTTAGAATTATCCATAGACGTGCAGCCAAATCGATCCCCGATTGAGTCAGGAGTCGTCACTGTCCCTATAAATTATGCATCAGAGATTATCTTTACAAGGATGCATGCAAGCCCCGACTAGGAGATAAAAAGACCCAATAAACCAAAGATGGCGAGGCTACCTAAGGTGGCCGTACCTCGTCCTACGGTTAAAGGTAAATAATATTTAGACAAAATATGGAGCAAAGAGAACGCGAATAGACTAGCTCCACAAAAAAAGAAAGAAATAATCACTCTCGTCGAAGGAGGTGACGAACAAAAAAAAGTTCTCACAGAGATGCCTCGCAAAAGGGGGAGGGAAGAAGAAGAAGAAGGGCAAGAAGAATAATAATAAGAAGACAGCCGGCAAGAATCAAACGCCAGTTATACATTCCAATCCGTTCCGCCAAAGAGTATGATTCGCTGAGATGAGAAGAAACGCCATTAAATGCCGGGGAGAGTTCGTGGTATAGTCATTATAGATCACCGTTTGTGTCGGTCGCCACCATGCGCTGTTTCTGTTTCTCTTTGCTCTTCACCGCCAGTGCGTCAATTGTATTCTGCACTTCGTGTTTGGCCTCTGTTTCGAGGTTGGTGCGTTCATCCGGCTCAAGCGTTTCCTTGTCCCCGACGCGCTCGTAGAGCATGCGAGAGATAGATCGGTTGATGTTCGTATATTGCTCTTTCGAGATGGTCTTTTTCTTGTAGTGAGGTTTTAACCCAGTGCCCACCATTTTCTGGATATCGGCTTTCAGGGCCAGGGATGGACCAGCTCGAGTGGGAGATGAGTCGGGTGAGCGGGATGCCCCGAAACACAGTGCTCGTTGGGGGATGCGGGAGCGAGGACGACCGGCCTGCCGTTGTGGTTTGTCTTCTTTGGCACCATTTGACGATGGACTACCTGATAGGGACACTTCGGGCGAGAAAGGAGGAGATGAGGGTTGGGCGGGGGATGATAGTTGAAGAGGGGAGATGGGGCGGCTTCGCGAGAAAGGTGGTGGTGTAGCCGAGAGGACAGGGGAGGAGTAACGAGATGAGGCGGGAGAGATGGAGGGAGAAGATAAACCAGGAGATGGATGGTCGGTAGGAGCGACAGATGTCAAAGGTCCATATGAATGATTCGGTGCGTCTTCGACTTCCTTCAATAGCGAGGATAGGAAGCTTGGTCCGGTGGGATTATCACCGCTCGGTCGAACAATGGAGCTCCCGGCTCTGGATGATTCACCATTTTGAGTTTGCTGTGCGCGAGCCGCGAGCTCCTGTGGCCTCCTCGTTCGAGGACGCTTCAACTTGCGCTCGGGTTCTGTGGGCTCGGGGGACGGCGACATGGTCGGCTCTTTGCGCTTCCTGGCTGCACTCGGGTTGTTTTCGATCTCCCGCGCCCTCTCGAAGGCGTTCCAAGCCCGCATCTCCTCCAGCGACTCGGGCTCTGGTGTCGGAACTCGAGGAACCCGAGGTCGGGATGGTCGGGCATGGTCAAGATCGAACAGGGATGCTGTGTCGCGAAACCGACTGCCACCACCTTGTCGCTCGGCGACCTCAAAGCGGCGTTGCCAGGCTTGAAATTCGCGCTGGTTGGCCTCCTCGCGACGGCGTTGTTGCAGCGCGCGTTCGGCAGATCGATCGTCATCGAAAGGGAAATCAAGATCGAGATTCAGATGATCCCAGACAGATTGCCAGACTCGTGCCCAATGTAGAGAATTCGTCTGAGTTCGATTCTGTAGTCGTCTCTGCTGGGCCCTAGTTCGTCGACTCCGCTGTTCGATCGCCCGCGACGGCCGTGCTGATACCTCGGGAGCAGGTCCCTGAGCACGTAGCTCCTCACATTGTTGGCAGTACCATGACCCTGAGGGGATCTCGGTCAAACCTAAGCAGTATATATGAGAAGGCCCATCACATCCGTCGCACAAAAGGAGAACATCCTCGTTATCGGCTTGTCCGCAAATTGTACATGGTTGGAAATCGATCAAGTCATCCTCCACATATTCAATAATCATAGAAGGGTCAACTTCGGCCACTTGAGTTCGGTCCTGAACAGCGTAGGATGAAGTAACAGTTCCTATAACAAATCAATATAGTCAGTACTTGTAACCAAGAGGTAACCATGTTATAAGTCACAAAAATCAAGGAAGGGGGAGCGTCATACCTCCGACACTATCGCTCAACTCCACCATATTGAAACTTCGCCGACATATTGGACAACTGTTTGCCCGTTCAACCCATGGTTTTAAGCAATTATTATGTAGGACATGACCACAGGGAAGTAGCTGAGCGATCTGAGAGTCGAGCCCATTGAGGTCGCCATCCTTCAAATCAAGGCTCACAGGCTCAAGAGGATCACCCGCTCCTTCACCAAGGTCTCCTAAACAAACAATACAGGTATCGGACATGAGAAACAGATTTATTAGAGAAGGCGAAGTCCATGAAGAGCGACTCTCGAGAAGTGTAGAAGCGAGAAAGGTGTGGGGAGCGCCTTTTGAAGGTGGGCCGGATTACCGGACTAACGCAAAGCAGGAACGTGACGGAGGCGAATGATGTACGATGCCCTGGATTGGCGGGTTTGGACTATTTGCGATCTTGGTATTACCATGACTACATTTGAAATACTGGGAATTCTCTATTGGACTTGTTGTTTTATGGCTACTAATTATGCTTGAGTACCTGATTTGGTCATGGACATCCTGCAACCATCCAACAAGGTCCCTGTACAACACAAAATACACAAAGTCCCTAGTGCAAAGTGGCCGTCGATCTACAAATTAAAAATGACTACATTAGGCGCCCATGGTTTGGCTGAAACCTGAATCACACCTGGGCAGCCTGGACAGTTTTCACCTTAGTCGAAAGATCAATTTGCCCGGAGCCCTGGGTTAACAGGCGACCGGATCGTACCAGTAGGATGTATCATGTGGGCCGGAGGATGCTAGGCACCTGGTGCAAATGTCCAGGTGCACGTAGAAAGTACGAAAGATATAGTTCGGAGCGCAGTCGGTCCAAGCACTCAGACAATACGCTAAGACCAGGTGACCTCCAAACCAAGACCACTGATGTTGTGTCGAGTCTACGTGACTGTCCAGCACCGAGTAACCACAAAAGGCCGCAAATCTGCAGTCCATCCATATGACTCACGCGGTCGCAGAACGTCGAAGGTAATCAGGTGGAGGGTCTGGATTGCGGTGGATTGTCTATCATGTAGGCAGCGACCGAGGCGAACTTTGAAAACCAGTCACATCGATATACGGTATACTCGAGGCCGAAGCGGATTGCAACAAGAATTGTATTCCCGAATTTTTTCATTCATTTTTGGGTAACCGTAAAGAAAAATGAAACCACATAATCCTCCCATTTAGACCTCAGCGATCTCACGCAGACGACGGATGGTGGAGCGGGTGGCAGCGGCAGCGGGGGTGCTAGATAAAATAGAACCGTCAGTAATCTTTCGTCGTTTGTGCATGGTAGATCGCGACTGTGTGCGCCAACTAAGGTCGACCCCCAGGTCGCATCACAGTGTCGCTCCATGCTATAGCGGGCGACTTACGAGACGACGTAAGCACCGCCGGCAACAGTCTTGTCGCAGCCCTTGCACTCCCAGATACCGACAGCCTTGCGCTTGACGGTGTTCTTTCCGCAGAATGTGCAGACGTAGCGGGCGTGCTGGGTGACTTCCATCTTCTTCACCTGCTTACGCAGGGAGGCACCGTATCTATTGGGATATTGTTAGAATCCTGGTCGCCGTATAGGAGTATTCGCTATGGGTCGTGTGTCTCGATCGAGGAAATCACAGTCGTGTGGGCGCGAATTGGACAAATGTCATACCTGGTACCATATTTACCGGTGATGCCGACCTCTGTAGAAAATTGTTAGCATTGAGCAATTCGTTTTGCGGAGTGTTGAATTTGAGAAAGAGGCACATACTCTTGGTGCGCTTCGTCATCTTGGCTGGTGGAGAGGATGAAGATGGGTATTCAACAGGAGACCAAAAAAGGACGCTTTGAATGAGGGCGGGTTGTGCTGTGGATTCTCGCTTAGGG